AATATCAGGATCTAAAAAATCTATTGGCAAGGGAAAAAAAGGTAGAATTTGAAGAAATCAAAATATGATTTTTACTATAAATAAGTCTCTAAAAACAAAATGACTTAGAACTGACTAGCAAAAGAAACTGTTAGTGATAAGTAACGAATTTGACTCTAAACAGTATAGCAGAAACATATGAACCATTGTGAAAGTAAATCTAACTAAATAATCACAAAGACACAAACCGATTAAAGTCATTACAAGCTAACAAAGATTGATCTTCTACATCTAAAGATAAGTCACAAAAATCAAAATTTAACAAGATAATTTTTTAAGATCTCTCAACGGATTAACATCTGAAATTCAAATAAAAGCAGGAAACAATATAATTGAAACAGCAAAACGAAGATCAAAGAACTCAAAGCAAAATGAGAGATCAAACAAACTGAAGTGGGAAACTTGATTTAGAAAAAAACTAAAAAAAAAAAAATGGACAACAAAAAAGTGAAAGAAGCCTCAATTGGGAAAAAAAATTGAGAGGGGGCCTCAAAACGATAGAAAGTATTAATATATATTAATTGATGTTAAATGAGAGAAAGTATTACTAATAGATAGATAGATTATATATATATATATATATATATATATATAACTATTACTATTTTTTTGTTTGAGGCCCATTAAAGAAAAATTTCTGGGGGGTCCAACTGGCCAAGTATGCACTTACCTATACTTCTTTTTGTTTTTAGCCTATACTAAAAAAAAAAAAATTCAAAACTTTTGGGGGGGCCATGGCCCCCCTCCCTCCGCCCCTGGGCACGACATTTTAAAGTGAGGGATGTGGTCGATGTTCTGTTTTTCTTATCACAGTGTTCCTTTCTCAATTGTGAATCATTCTAATTATTTTTGCCTTACCCAAAAAAACAAAAAACAAAAGGCCATAAAAACTGATGTGTAGACTGTGTAGTTACCCTAAATTCAGAAAAACCTGGATATTCTTTGATTGTAATCCCACTAAAATTGAGAGAACATATAGTGCTAGGACTCACAAAAGGGAGGGTGTGGATTGAACTGATTTCGTTTTGGTTAAAACGTCTGGTAAACCCATTAAAAAGATCCCAACAAATTAAATGGGTCCACTGCTCAGATCAACATTAATCAAATAAATCCGGATATAAAGCTGCACATGTATTGCATGTATCACGGTAAAATATACAAGCTTCAACAAAATGAAAGGAAAAGTAAAGACGATATATTTCAAGTTCAAACAGTTTTTTTCTTTTCTATCTTCTTTATCTATTTATTTACTTGAAGTATCATAAGAAAAATACCTCTTGGGAATCCAAAAAATGATAAGAAAAACAGGAACATAAATTAAAATTATTTTTCTACCCATTAAATACACAATATCGTCCCAATACTTTTTGCCAGATTGCTTACCTAACAATATTCTTTTTTTCCCCTTTTTGGAGAGAAATTTTCTATCTAAACAAAAAGAGAGGGAAAAATAAAAAAAAAAATTAAAAAAATTAAAAAAAAAAAACAATCTTTAAATCTTTTCCTATAATGTTGTAGAATTCACATCAGAACAGGACCGTCCGACAACTACCACATTGCCTATTATTTTTTCTCAACACCGGCAATTCACTGACCGTCCGACACCTACTCAATAAACGAAATACAAAATACGAATCGTAATCCATTAATAGTTATACTTAATACCACCAACACCGAAGCAAACAAAGATGGAATAGAACATGTATAATAATATATATAGATAAACACTTCAGCATTCATACCAGATCGACACAAATCTTCCGTTGCAGACTATTCTTACCCCAATTTCAATTTCAATTTCAATTTCTGAAGGAAGAACATCAACCCTAGGCTACGTTTGTTTGGTAAGCCAACGGCTTGTAGCCGTTAAATGCCTCTTAAAAAAATACCTATATAAAATTCCTAAATTATAATAAATTGGGTACAGTGCCAAAAAAAAGGCCAAACTAGTGTTCTTTTGTAAATAACCTTTCCCGAACTAAAAATTGCATTCCTTAATTACTAATTCATTATAATTAAGGACAAATTTATCACAAAAAATTATTTTACTCTTTCTTATTAAAATTATTAGTTCTTGTTAAATTATTTTTTATTATAATTTCTTTTATTCAAAAATTAATTATACTATTTACCTTAATTTTATAATTATTATCAATTTATCATAAAAATGGAAAATAAGAAATAAATTAGTAGCTACCATTTTTTAAAATGATTAACTTATTATAATAAAACTTATTATACTCACTTTTTAAAAATATTAGTGTAAAAAAATAACTTCTTTTTGATACAATATTCAAGCAAAATTAATAAATTACGTAAATAAAAAATATCTTCTTTTTTATGCAATATTAATAAATTACGTAAATAAAAAATTTCTTATTTTTTATGCAATATATTCATTCAAAATTAAGCAATTACTTAAATTATTTCCAACTTTTCTACTTAATATTTTTATTTAAATAATTAACTTCAAAATTAAAGGCAAAATTATTCAAATTTAATGGAGAATATTTCATCAAATTAGTATAAATTGTTTTCATAATTTATTTCAACAAGAAAAATAGATCAAGTGTAATTCAATAAAAAAATAGTACTACGGTTATTTAAATAAAAAATAGACAAGGCAATAGGGCATTTTGCAACTAAATGTCATAGTTCAGGAGGTTTTATGAAGGAAAAAAAAATACTTCAAGGAGTTATTTGCAAATTTAAACATAATTTAGTGGGGCTTTGCACTTTACCCTAATAATTTTTCAAATTACCTCCGGTAAACATGCAAATCTTTAATAATTTTTATGCAACTAATTTAAAAGGATAGTTTACATTTTCAAATAGTCCCGGTGCTATAGTCTTTTATTTCTCACCTTGACATGAAAGAGGGGGTGTGGCAAGGTGAAAAAAAAATAGTTAAAATTTATATTTTAGTACATGGATTGATTATCAATCCAAAATATTTTTATGATTTAATCCGCATAGGTGGTTTAAAAGATAAAGGATTTTTCGTAAGGGGTCTTTTGAAAAGAACAGTAAATTCAAATTTCTTAGGTTTAATTTCACAAGGTACCAAGACACTCGAGTTTAAATGATATAGTCTTAAATTTAGTCCCACAAAATGCTAAAACACCCAAATTAAAATGATATAATATGATTGGTGAGTGATTGCACACTTTTCAAAGTTTGCAAACCATTGATGTTGATTGAACACTTTTAGGGGCCGTTTGGCATGCGTTTTGTTTTTGGCTAAAACAGAAATAATGTTTTTGTTGTAGGAATGTTTTGGAAAAAATTCGGAATTACGTTTGGGAACGATACTTTGCTGTGGAAATGTCGAGAACAAAAACGTGTAAAACATGTTTGGTCACACAAATATATATATATATATATATATATATATATATATATATATATATATATATATATATATATATATATATATAGTTTTTGGTGTTTAATTTTTGCAATAAACTATTTACATGTTAGCAGTTGCAGAGAGAGGGGGGGCAAGCTTGAGAGTTGAGAGACGGCGGGCCGAACTGGAACAGTGGGCGTTGGAAACTGAAAGATATGGGTTTTGATTTTTGCAGACAGATAGATAAAACTGAAATATATGGGTTTTAAACTTCTGATTTTTGTAGATTTTGTAGTTTGCAGTTGCAGAAAGAGAGAAGGGGCAAGTTCAGGTCTGAGAACGAGAATAGAGATGGAGGCATTATTTATAGGTAATAATATGTTTTGATTCTTGCAGACAGATAGATAAACTAAAATAAATGGGTTTTGAACTTCTGATTCTTGTAGATTTTGTAGTTTGCAGTTGCAAAGACGGAGAGAGGGCAAGTTCAAAATAGAGAACGGTGTTGTATTTGATAGGTGTTGTATATGTGTCAAGTTTGAATCCAGCAAATCCAGCTTCAATAGGTGTTGTATTTGATAAAATCCAACAAATTAAGGGCCTAACTTGGATCAGTGGTGATGAATTTTTTTAAAAACTCCCTTGAATAGCAAAGAGAGTATCGGGAGAGGAGAGAGAAAATTTGCCCAAAATGACCTAAAATGTTTATATACCTGAAGAAAGTGTGTTTTAAGTTGGACCGGCTGTTTCCTCCACTACAGTGAATTTTATGGACAAACATTGCTAAAACAAGATAAAACACTATTTTGATGTTTCAAGCGTTGGGCCTCTTTATTGAAATGTTTTACAACTGTGCAAAACAAAACATAAGCAATCAAACATGTTTTGGGCTTCTTTTGGGCTACTGTAGTGGGCCTGAAACAAAAACAACAAAAACAGAGTAGATGCCAAACAGCCCCTTAAGAGTTTGCAAAATAAAGTAACTAACCATATTTTATGATTCAAAATTTTTTATAATTAACACTAAATTTAATTAGTTTTTATTATTTTTCTAGTTAAACTTGTCAAATTTAGTAAAAACAACTAAACGTTTAACATCATCCGGTAAAGTGTGTGTGTGTGTATATATATAGAGTAAAAAACCAATTTATTATGATTTTGTTAATTGCCTTTTTTTAAATAAAAAAAAAAAAAGAAAAAAAGAAAAAAGAAGAAGAATTAGAATGATTTATTGAGGTTTGCGACTTATTGCTAACTCCTCTCATTTCAAACATTATTTACATGTCAATATACAAGTTTGCACCTATTCATTTATTTATCTTTGTTGATTGTATATCAGACCGTTGACCCTTCCCTTAAAAGCCATGAAAATTGGCAAAATTCTTGTCACACACACTCAGACGCACTATTCTGTTTATGCTGTTATACTTGTTTACCCACAACCCATGCAACAATAATCTTTTATGTGGCAAGTGAAAGCCACACCACAATGTTGCCCACAACCCATGCAATAATAATCTTTTATGTTGTTATAGTTGTTTGCCCACAACCCATGCAATTATCAGGAGCATGGAAAAAGGGGGTATATGTGCATATACAGACTACACAAAACTAGAAACCGAGCCCCTGAATCATTTTATTTCTGATGTTATTACACAAAAAGTACTAACAAAAAAGCAAAGTTCTTAAAACATCTTACAACCCACTTTAGGAAAGATGGTCACCCTTCAAGCCATCACGTCACGAGCCAGGCACTCCGGTGGCTTCTCCACACGACTGCATTCACTTGTGCCCACCTGGCATACCAGACACATACTCAGCTACCATTAGAGGGATTCATAGTCAGGTTAAGATGAAAGCAGAAGAGAATTTGCTCGATTGTGAGGAAAAGGAACTGGTGTGATGCCTCAGACTAATTCCTCAGCGTTTTCGTTCTGGATCATCTCGCTACTTTCCAATTCTTTCACCTTTTCAAACTGCCTCGAGATCTAACCTTTCTGGTCCGTAGGTGGAAGAGAACATCGGATAAGCACTTGGGCACAATCCAAAATTTTAAACAAGAAAACTCGGACGAAATACGCACCAGTGCTGGTACATATCTTTGAATTGCAGCCAACATGGCCGCATGCCCTATTGCAGTAACCTGCAAGACGGAAATTACAGCTCAGACCCTTAGATTATATTGAGTGGACTGTTTCCTCTAGTCATGTAAATGCCTAAATGATTATTATGTAAATGAAATAGAGCATGTGTGGAAGAAACATATTTTAGTCCGGGTAAAGAAGTTGATGAACATCTATCTGAAAAGAGTTGGATGAATGGCTTTATTTTGTTCAAATAACAATACCCTAAACCAGCCAAACCGGCAATGGGCCCGTGAGGTTCGTCTCGCTTAGCTTCAGTTTATACAAGGTGGGTGCCATAACCACTTCCATTCCTCAGATCACTCTGCCCACATACAGATCATTTTTGTTATTCTATGCATCTGAATAGTTTCTCTACATGTGAACATATAAATGATGATATGGATGTACTAGTGATAAAGAAGGTAAAGCGGGCGTAACAAAAAGCAATTCACATGTTGACAAAAACAAGTGATAAAATATAAAGTTATAAGATTCACATCCCCCCCCCCCCCCCCCCCCCCCCCCCCCCTCTCTCTCTCTCACACACACACACACACACACACACACACCACAACCCAAAACAAATAAATAAATAAATAATAAAGAAGAAAGAAAGCAAGCATGGGCAACTCGGCTGGTAAGGCCTTTTGGGGTACACTCCTGGACGTTGGTTCGAGTCTCGTCAAAGGTAAGGCCTAGACTTAAATGTTGCACGTAATTTGGGCACAATTGCATGCATTTGAAGTCTGTAAACCCAAGTGGCCAACGGGTGGGTTGATTATTCATTACATATATATATATATATATATATAAAGAAGAAGAAAAGTTACCCCCCTTCTCATGATGCACAATAATGTACAAATTTGGCACAAATTCACCAAGTTCCCCAAAAATATTGAAGTTATAAGATTGTTTGAACTCACAGGAAGGAGCATAAGAAAACCAATAGGAACTACAGATGCTAAATCAGTTAAAGTTCTTTGGAGAGCTTTCTTTTCTTTCTCTGTCAATTCATCCCCTACTAGGATCCTTCTAAGCAATCCCAGAGCTGCAGCAACATCAACGGCTAGAAGCTGAGTCCCTTGCCAAACATCCTGCTCATTGACAACAAGATGAGCATCAATTAGATGTTGGTAGTCAAGGAAAAGAAATAAACAAGATTCTTAATTAAAGACATCAACTGCAAACAGCATAGGAAGGCCAAGGAAAAGAAAGACTATTTACACAGGTGGTTGAATCAGACAATGATTTCAGACACTACATAACAGATAACAGTATTAAATTAACATTCACCAATATCCTACATATATGGACTTCGTATTAACCATATCCATGGATGGTTTGCACTTGTGCATCCACGCAGTGACATATTTGTGGATAGTTTTTAAGGCGTGCACGTATTTAATGAGGTTAACATACCTACTATAGTAGTTCATGGACTGAGTTATTCATGGACAGCTCAATCTCGGGTTAAGAAGAGCTTAGTTTGTGAGTATTTGCTAAGTAAACCACCTGAGCTCAAACAACATTTTTGAGCTTGCCAAGTAAATGATTATCACTCAACTCATTAGGCTCATGAACATGACTGTTCGGGAACAAGCTCGTTAAAACTTGTTCACAAGACTTGTTTATCTGTTTAAGTTTATAACAATTTTTTCTTCTTAAAAATCTTGATCTCAACCACAAATTCAAGCTAACTCAAGCTCGAGTATGAGCTTGAACTCAAAGCTCGTGATTGGCTAAACAAGCCAACCTCAAGCTTGGCAAGCAATGTCCGGATCGAGCTTGAACACTCATATCTCGGTTCAACCCAAAATTTGAATAGCTGTTTGAGTGGTTGAGCCAAGTTCAAGCAGTCAAATAATCTGCTCGGCTCCATTGCAGCCCTATGACTGTTACAAAAAGCAACACATAAAAATAAGTGATAAAAGGAGAGAAGTAAGTACTCGCAACAAAAAAGACAAGTATAACAATTCCTAAGGAAATCCCACCCTAACAAATAGAAGATCAATAAGGTTGAATGATGTGAAAAGACAAACCAAAATTCCTTGGTTCCTTATTGGCAAAAAGTTTTTATCTTTTTGCATGTCCAGAACAGCAGTACAATATATTGCCTGAACCAAATATCTAATGTAAAAGATGAGAATATCTCTAGTGTTCCGGGGAGATGTTTTAAGTAAGTACCATGAAGCTCAATTCAGATGGGTACTCTGATATAAAAATAAATAAATAAAATAAACAAAATGTATGATATGATGACCAGACAATAGTATATGCTATTTGGACCATATCTCATCCTTTGACTAATGAAGAATGGTAAGAGATCCATACTGTGCTGGTTTCTTTAAGCTTATCAATTGACTTTCCAACAATATTTTCTTTCTTCTGAACCTGGAGCAATCGACTTCCTTGCTTCATCACCATAACCGGCAGAGTCATTTCGCATATTAATTTCATCCTGAAAAGTAAACATGAAAAATCAACTGAACTGTACTACTTGAATAAAAACCTGAGTGATAAGTAAGAAGGCAACTTCATGAAGATGATTCATAGATCAGAAAAGTAGCCAAATTCACATCTACGGCCGTAGCCTATTTTACAAGGCCGAATGATTATGAATCAAGAATGTATTAGCTTAAACGCTCCATGTCTCAGAAAAGTACCTAATTCATGCAAAATATGCCCAATTTTATAAGGAAATAAAGATGGGAAAAAAAGGACAATACAAAGTGCTGATCCTGTTGCGAAAATTAACAGAAAGAGAAACCAGAACATGCAGATTTACATGGTTACATTCACAGAGTTGCAGGGATTGCACTATGATGAAGAGCCAAAAAGAAATTACATAGTTCAAAATGATAATAACCGATCCCGCTATACTGTTACAGAATTAGTACCAAAATAACCACCAAAAAATTCGGGCTCCACACTTCCACTCAAACCCCACATATGCTCTTATTTTAATTTTTAACAAAGTGTGCGTGCGCACAATCAATGTCAAATAATGATGGACGCTACAATCAATGTATAATAATGCATGTCCACCAATAAGCTTTTGGTTTTCCAACAGTTGATACCTGATATTGTTTTAACCAAAGCATGCTTCCTCGTATGGTTCTTGATACAAGAACTGTTACCAGTAGTTTTTCCAGTTTTCTTCAATTTCCCATTGTATATTATTCAAAACTTGGAGTTGTATATTCCTCAGAAATAATGCAACATAAGTTGGATACAACATGTGCTTCAGGAAACTCCCGAATTAAAATGACAATAGCACCACCAGTAGGGCCATTGCTCAGGCTTACCTGGCCGTTTCAGCAACTACAAGATCAACATGGAACAACTTTTAGAAGTTCTCACAATTAATAACACTCCATCACAAGTGTCAAATTTTTGAGAACCAAACGTGGCTCTGAGGAGTTTAAAGAAAGTCGTGCCTTGAACACTTGAAAAATGTTACTGGTTGAGGCAAAACTCTAGATGTCTGTTCTGCCAGATTGCTTTGCTTTCATTCACACCAAGTTGCTATCCTTTCAAAAGCTAAAAAGGCCAGAGATATTCTACTTATCAGTAACAAAAAAATAAAAATAAAAATAAAAATTGGTTTCTAATTAAGCCTAAGGCATCAACCTTGTTGATTGCAATAAAAGCATCTTTGCTTCTACCGTCCACCGTCTTCCTACCATGGTCTACAATCACCTGCTATATTTGTATAGAAGTTTGGCCAACACTCCAGGACCTAAATAACCAGTAGACAGTCCAAACAATGGGAACTTTCTTTGCAGCTGGAGCATTAGAGCTGAATTTCCCAGAAGAAAAGAGCTAATTTTTTGAGAACCAAAAGTGGCTCGGAGGAGTTTAAAGAAAGTTGTGCCTTGAACACTTGAAAAATATTACTGGTTGAGGCAAAACTCTAGATGTCTGTTCTGCCAGATTGCTTTGCTTTCATTCACACCAAGTTGCTATCCTTTCAAAAGCTAAAAAGGCCAGAGATATTCTACTTATCAGTAACCAAAAAATAAAAATAAAAATTGGTTTCTAATTAAGCGTAAGGCATCAACCTTGTTGATTACAATAAAAGCATCTTTGCTTCTACTGTCCACCATCTTCCTACCATGGTCTACTAAGAAGCACGGACACGGATACGGCCCATACAGGACACGGATACGACACGACACCGACACGGCGACACGGCAAATCCAAAAAAATTAGGACACGGACACGGCGAATAGTGTATATATATATATATATATATATATATATATATATATATATATGATGTAGTACTTTACAAATTACCAAGTGTAACTATTTTTCATCAACCTCACAATGAAAAAAAAACACAAATCATAACTCATAACTAATAAACTATAAAAGAACAATGTTGCAGAGTTATAAAACCAAATAAAAAACAAGACATTAGAATAATAACTAGTATCATCTAATCATCATTACAACTTTACTCCAAATACAAAAGCATAGACAAAAAGGACTATTAACATTCATGACTGTTTAACATTCAGGACTTTACTGTTAGCACTTAACATTCACAAAAACCTAAAGGCTAGTCCCCAAAAAAGATACAAAAACCAAGTCAGTGTACTATAATCTATTCACATCCATCATTTGACCTAGGACTTTTACCATTTACAATACCAAAAGGGTAGTACAAAACAAAAAAAAAAGAACATATCAGCATTCCAAAAAAAAAAAAATTCCAAAAGTGTCCGTGCCATATCCGCGGAGTTTCTGTGCCGTGTCCGAAAATTAAAAAAAAAATAAAAAATTTCAGGTACGTTTTTTGGCGTGTTCGACGCGTATTCGTGTCCAACACGTGTCGGACACGGATTCTTCGCCCATTTTGGAGTGTCCGTGCTTCCTAGATGGTCTACAATCACCTACTATATTTGTATAGAAGTTTGGCCAACACTCCAGGACCTAAATAACCAGTAGACAATCCAAACAATGGGAACTTTCTTTGCAGCTGGAGCATTAGAGCTGAATTTCCCAGAAGAAAAGAGTTCATTTGTGTTAAAATTTGGATGCGGAAATAAGAAATGCAAATAGGAAAAGGGAAGAGAGAAAGATGGAGAGCACAGGCATATACATGGTTCAGGACTAAGGCCTACATCCATGGACAAAGAGCCAGTAAGGGTTACATTTTTATTATTCAGATTTATGTTTTGTTTCAATACAAAGAGCCTATATATAGGCATGGTAAAGATAAGAAAGTATGGAAGGTGTACAATAGTCAAAGGAGGCACTGTGATTGATGAATGATTTTGTTCCACCGTTATATAGAAATATTTATATATTTCAACACTCCACCTCAAGTTGGAGTATGAATATCATGAATGCCCAACTGGCCAAAAAAAAAAAAGCCTCGAAAGATGATGAGAAGGTGTCCGGAACAAAGCCAGGAAATTAACTAGATCTTACTAGGAAAAATGACCAGATCTTGCCAGGGAAAATGGCAAGAACTCGCCGGGAAAAATGGCCGGAACTACGCTGAGGAAAATGGCCGGAACTAAGTAGGGAAATGGCCGAAATAATGCCAAGAAATGGCTGGAACAATGCCAGGAAATGGTTGGAACAATGACGGGAAATGGCCGGAACAATGCCGGGAAATGGTCGGAACAACGCCGGGAAATGGTCGGAACAACGCCGGGAAAAGGCTAGAATTACGCCGAGAAATGGCTGGAATAATGCCGAGAAATGGCCGGAAGTAGGCCGGGAAATAGCTGGAACTCACCGGGAAATGGAATTTGAAGAGTGAAGACATAGAGAATATGCTCCATGATAATAATACCAAAACTCCCCTTCAAATTATAGATGGGATTACAAGAACATCTAGGCTCTGATACCATGTTAAAATTTGGATGCGAATAGGAAAAGGGAAGAGAGAAAGATTGAGAACGCAGACATATACATGGTTTGGCACTAAGGCCTACGTCCATGGACAAAGAACTAAGGGTAACATTTTTATTATTCAGATTTATGTTTTGTTTTAGAACAAAGAGCCTATATATAGGCATGGTTGTAAAATTTTTACAATGAGATAATAAAAAATAAATCTAAAAATAATAATTATGTAGACATTGCTTGAATAATTTATAGTTATATAAAATTATTTTGTCATATCCTTTTCTCGTGCACACATTTGGGTGGGACTGATCTGGCATCAAATTAGCAACAAAAATATAGGTGTAACATAATTGAAGCTACATAGGTGATGGAAAAAGAGGAATGGGCTAGTACTACTACTTGGGGGCGGGGGTTGTCACCCATCTTATCAACTTAACAAGTCCACCCACCCACTTGCCCACCGCATCCTATACTATCTATATGGTGAATGATGAGGCCTGTGAAAAAATCTTCAAGCATAATAACAACATTAGCAATATATATATATAACCCATATTCCCCCATTTGGGTCTGGATTACGTCAACCCTATCTTTTGGACGTAATCCAGGCCCAAATGGGAGAATATGGGTAGTTGCAATCAGGATATATATTGCTACTGTTGTGATTCTGTCTAAAAGATTATTTCATGGGGACTCATCATTCACAAAATAAGTTAGTAGAGGATGTGGTGGGCAAGTGGGTGGGTGGACTTGTTAAGTTGATAAGATGGGTGACAACCCCGCCCCCAAGTAGTAGTACTAGCCCACTCCTCATTCTCCATCACGTATGTAGCTGCTATCTAATGTATTTTGTTCATCTTCTGTTGTTTTGAATTTTGCAAAAGGTATATTTAATGAATAGTATGTTCAATTATGTTACACCTATATTTTTGTTGCTAATTTGATGCCAGATCAGTCCTTCACACCCACACAAACTCTTTATTGAAATATAGGATATATGAATATATGTATTGATTTAAGCAAGTGATGATGATAAAATTATTGTCATCAACATTCAAATGTGTGCATGAGAAAAGGATATGACAAAATAATTTTATATAACTATAAATTATTCAAGTAATGTCTACATAATTATTTTTATTATTTTTAGATTTTATTTTTTATTATCTCATTGTAAAAATTTTACAACCATGTGTGGATTAATTGTGGTCCCATGGAATCAGGGTCACATTATCATTTTGAAATTTAACACCTTCAGAAGAGGGACAACCAGAAATTCTTAAAAGCAGCATTCACAGACCAAAGAATATGGAAAAGGAGGAAAGAAGATTATATAAAGAGATTACATAGAAGATTACATAAAGGATGTGAATCATGTGAGATGCTGTGAATAGTACAAGGTGGAAATATACAATGTTACTCTCAGGGAGTCTACATTGGAACAACATTAGACATGTGTTGTTTGTCTTGCCCCAAAATAATAATACTCCCTTCGTCCCATAATAGTTGTCCATCTTTCCTTTTTGGGTTGTCCCAAACTACTTGTCCACTTACCAAATTTAAACAACATATTTCACATCTTTCCATAGAAGACCCCTAAAATTTTAAAAAATTTCAAACTTGATTATATATATATATAAACTTGAAAGGGTAGCTTTGAAATTTTTGAGGGCGACAATGCAATAATTACATGTCCCCTTAAAAAGTTCTACCCCCCATAAGGGACATCTAATATGGGACGGAGGGAATAATAATAATAATAATAATAATAATAATATAAATTAATTAATTTAAAAAAATAAATAGAGTGGAAAATGGTACCAAATAAAGCTTAATGCACACCAATTTTAGGTCAATGGCAGTTCATCACCATACCGCCTGCTCTCAATTGATGACTGGCCATTATACCATAACTGTTGACCTAAGCCCCTGTTCTTGGCAGGTGCTTTAAACTGCTGTTAGTGTTTTCTTTTGCACCTTTTTAATGTTAACATAAAAGGGACTATAAAGAGTAGAGAGAGTCTTTACACAAGGTGACCTTCATAATGTCTTATCAGTGCTAGTTGGGATACAACAATTGCCGGAACTAACATGATAAAGAATCCATGGGTACCCTAAGTGCCCTATGACCACGAAATTTCGTTAATATAGCAAAACAAGAAAGAAACATAGATGGAGATGAACAGTTAACATGTAATAATGAATATGGAAAATCAAATGGGATATAAGAACAATGCAAGGGCATATAAAGGATTTTAACTTGTGCCTTCCAACCTCCAAAATGTTACATTTTGTAAGCTATCATCATATAATGAGAATACTCATCCATACTGGTTTTCTAAAATTTTCATAAAGGTTTCTCTAAAAAAAAAAAAAACCTTGGTTTTCCTGAAAAGCAAAAGCAAGTTTTTTCGTACTTCAAAAATAGTTTCTGGTGAGAATTTTTTTGTTAAAAAAAAATATTTCAAAAAGTTCAACACACCTATAAAAGACCCTCTGATTGCTATGAAGTCAGTTATTACGATTGTCATCAAATACAGGAATATCAGGTGAATTACAAATTTGGACTTGACCAATCCTTTTTGTTAAAATATATGCACTCTCTATATTTGAAGCATAACTAACCACCTTCCTATATTTGTTAAAATATATGCACTCTCTTTATTCACTCGAGTCAAATCAACAAAGACTTGGTTGGCTAAATAACATTCAAACTTTAGCCTATAACGGCATCCGAACTAGGCCTCAAGCTAGCAAACCAATCTAGCAGGGAAGCAGTCCAGATCATTAGGTCATTCAGGAATTTACAACTACCTGAGCACACCGAGTATGGTTTCTTAACTGCCGTAACACTTGAGCAAATGTATATTAACAAAAACGGAGATTTTTACAACTACCTGATGAATTAACTTAGTACTCTGCACAAAGTAAGGGCAACATGCTTTTTATTTGCAGTTAAATGTTGAATACAAGAATTCGGAGATTTTTATACAATGAGCAGTTGAATAAAGAAAGTAAAGATGGATGAGACGAAAGGATGCATTACCTGTGTGAGTAGTCAAATATAATGTCACCATGTGCTTATCTGAGTCCATAGAGATTGAGACAAGATAGATACCCATTGACCTCTGCTGGCAATGGCGTCCAATTACAGTGGGTGTGCAAGTGGGAGGGTCCCCAATATATCATCTTATCATATGCCTTATGGTAGTGACTGATTATTGGACTGAAGGGACTCCTCCATTTATGTGTTTGCACTGAAAAAATAATTCAATTATTCATGCCTTAGTACAGTATAAACAAATGAAAACCATGTGAGTATATGTTGCTCCCACTTTGCTTTTCGTCACATCAGGATTCTTGCCTTCTAGGCTTTTCGGAAAACCTCATTTTCACCTCCTCTTGTACCTGGCAAAGAAAGAAAATAATACTATTTCGTTATTAAAATGTCATTAAAATGAAAACAAAAGTTATAAAAAGAGAACCTTAAATTCCATTGAAATAACAAATAATTGACAATGATACGAAAAGATAATAAATTTTGGAAAGAAGATAGATATGCAAAAGATTATATAGCAACACAGCCGTAAGAAATACCTGCCTCTCCTTTGGAAACAGGTCCATCACATAGCAGATACTAATAAAAAGAGTTACTGGAGACAATGAATCTTGATACCCTTTTAATCACCGATATGCTAAAGATACTAGTTATTGGGCATCAAGACGAATCTTGGTATCATGAACTTGATGATAAAGCAAATACCCATGTGGTTGAAAAGACCTGAACCAAGTCATGAGCCTTTTGCTGCCTCAAAATGCAATGCAATGATTACCTCGAAATACAATGCAAAACAAGAATTACAGACCTTGATTAGTTGATTTAGAAAAAAATTTAAAACAAAACCCATACATACAAGTTAGCAGTTGCAGAGAGAGAGGGCCGAGGGGGGCAAGCTTGAGAGTCGAGAGACAGCGGGCCAGCGGCTGAAGCTTGCGAACAGCGAACCCGAACTGGAACAGCGGGCGATGGAAACTGAAAGATATGGGTTTTGATTTTTTGAACAATATTAAATGATATGCCGATATGGGTTTTGATATAGGTAATACGTTTTGAACTTTTGGCTCTTGCAGAGAGATAGATAAACTGAAATATATGGGTTTTGAATTTCTGATTCTTGTGGATTTTATAGTTGCAGAGAGAGGACAAGTTCAGAGTTGAGAACGAGAATAGAGATGGAGGCGATTGGGGAGGCCGAAATGATTTGCCCTCAGAAAAAAAAAAAAAAAAAAAAATTCTGGTGTCCCATCATCCATGGGCCTATAAATTTTGAGGCTCATAGTTGAGGAGTTTTATGCACAAAAAAATGTTTCAAGATAGTTTAAAAAGAAAGGGTACTATAGTTATTTAATAAAAAATAGTCAAGGAAATAGAAGCAATTTTGCTACTAAAGTGACTAATCATATTTTATGATTCAAATTTTTTAATAATTAACTCTACATTAGATAGTTTTTGTTATCTTTTCTACTCAAACTTGTCAAATTTAGTATAAACAACTAGACGTGTAGGATCATCCGGTAAATACCAATTTATTATGATTTTGTTATTTGCCTTTTTTTTCTTTTAAAAAGAAAAAGATAAAAGAAGAAGAATTAGAATGATTTATTAGGGTTTCTGACTTATTGCTATCTCCTCTCCTTTCAAACATTATCTACATGTCCATGTACCAAGTCTCCACCTATTCATTTATTTATCTTTTTTGATTTGACCCTTCCCTTAAAAGCCATGGAAATTGGCAAAATTCTTGTCTCACAGACTCAGACGCACTATTATGTTTATTCATGCTGTTCTACTTGTTTGCCCACAACACATGCAATAATAATCTTTTATGTAGCAAGTGAAAGCCAGCCAGCCACCCTACAATGTTGCTAGTAAACACACCTCAGGGTTATATCATCATATTGAACAAGGAGCATGGAAAAAGGGCGTATATGTGACACTAATACAGCTACATATACAGACTACACAAAACTGGAAACTGAGCCACTGAATCTCTTTATTTCTGATGTTATTACACGAAGTACTAACAAAAAAGCAGAGTTATTAAAACATCTTACAACCCACTTTAGGAAAGATGGTCACCCTTCAAGCCATCACGAGCCAGGCACTCCGGTGCCTTCTCCACACGACTGCATTCACTGGTGCCCACCTGGCATACCAAGACACATACTCGGCTACCATTAGAGGGATTCATAGTCAGGTTAAGATGAAAGCAGAAGAGAATTTGGTCGATTGTGAGGAAAAGGAACTGGTGTGATGCCTCTCAGACTTTCGTTCGGGATCATCTCGCTACTTTCCAATTCTTTCACCTTTTCAAGCTGCCTCAAGAGATCCAACCTTTCTGGTCCGTAGATGGAAGGTATCTGCCAGAGCACTTGGGCACAATTCAAAATTTTAAACAAGAGAACTAGGGGATGAAATCCGCACCAGTGCTGGTACATATCTTTGAATTGCAGCCAACATGGCCGCATGCCCAATTGCAGTAACCTGCAAGACGGAAATTACAGCTCAGGCCCTTAGCTTTTATTGAGTGGACCAAGAAAAATTAAAACTTGGAGAGAATGTGTCCTATACTCATGTAAATGCCTAAATGATTATTATGTAAATGAAATAGAGTATGTGTGGAAGAAACATATTTTAGTCTGGGTAAAGAAGTTGATGAACATCTATCTAAAAAGAGTTGGATGAATGGATTTATTTTGTTCAAATAACAATACCCTAAACCAGCCAAACCGGCAACGGGCCCGTGAGGTTCATCTCGCTTAGCTTTAGTTTAGACAAGGTGGGTGCCATAACCACTTCTATTCCTCAGATCACTCTGCCCACATACAGCTCATTTTTGTTATTCTGTGCATCTGAATAGTATCTCTACATGTGAACATATAAATGATGTTATGGATGTACGAGTGATAAAGGTGGTAAAGCGGGGGTAACAAAAAGTAATTCACATGTTGACAAAAACAAGTGATAAAATATAAAGTTATAAGATTCACAAAGGGGAAAAGTGACCCCCCACCCAACCCAAGACAAACAAATAAATAAATAAATAAATAATAAAGAAAAATAAGAAAGAAGAAAGAAAAACCGCATGGGCAACTCGGCTGGTAAGGCCTTTTGGGGTACTCCTCTAAGGTCGTTGGTTCGAGTCTCGTCGAAGGTAAGGCCTTGACTTAAATGATGCACGAAATTTGGGCGTGATTGCATGCATTTGAAGTTTGTAAACCCAAGTGGCCAACGGGTGGGTTGATTATTCGTTACAATATATATAATGAAGAAGAAGAAAAGTTACCCCCATCTCATGATGCACAATAACGATGTTTCCCAAAAATATTGAAGTTATAAGATTGTTTGAACTCACAGGAAGGAGCATAAGAAAATCAATAGGAACGACAGATGCTAAATCAGTTAAAGTTCTTTGGAGAGCTTTTTTTTCTCTCTGTCAATTCATCCCCTACTAGGATCCTTCTAAGCAATCCCAGAGTTGCAGCAACATCAACGGCTAGAAGCTGAGTTCCTTGCCAAACATCCTGCTCATTGACAACAAGATTCTTTACGTGGAAACTATTAGCCATGTCTTTGAAGGGTAATACTAAAAATATACGACTTAGCATGTGAGAGCAGTTTCAAAATAATACTGATATAACACGTGAAAACTGGATTAGCCGTATCTTTAGAATGTAATACTAAATATACGACTTAGCATGTGAGAGCAGTTTAAAAATAATACTGATAGAACACGTGGAAACTAAATTAATACGACTTAGCATGTGAGAGCAAGTTTCATAATACTGATATGACACGTGGAAACTGAATTAGCCAAGTCTTTAGAATATAATACTAAAATGTACAACTTAGCATGTAAAGAAGGCAATTTTAAAATAATACTGATATAAGAACAGTTTCAAAATAATACTGATATAAGACGTGGAAACTAAATTAGCCACACGACTTAGCATGCAAGGAGCAGCATAGTGTCAAGCTGACACCCTCTCTATCTGTGTCTTACTCTAACGTTTATCGTCATGGAAAATTGTTTCACATGAATGTGACGTGTGGGGCAGAACACGTGTGGTAGTTTCAGAGTAATATTGATAGAACACGTAGAAAATTTGATGTGGATGGCTGAATGTGGGATGTACACATAACAATAATTATACCCATCCTCTCTGGATAAGCCCAAATAACCTCATTTTTTTAGGTTATAAATGGTAAATTCGCATGTTAAAAAAGTTATACAATCATGTATTATCTAAATATTCCTCCTCTTAACCATTTCTTTTTTAATGCAACATTCAACTACAACACGAGCAAATCAGACATTTATTATTTCATCCCACAAATTAGTGAAAAATTCGACTAGCTAAATTGGACCTTTTAGAAGGTAATACTAAAATATTTGGCTTACTTGGTGTGAAGGATGTGTTTCTGGGTAATATTGATTGATGGGTTGAACCTGGCTAGACACAAAAGAACTATCAGGGGTAGGTGGCTCGGACTCATCATCTAGCTAACACAGCAGATTCACCCCAAACAGCCTCACTGTCTTGGAGTTCCCACTCGGAGTAGTTTGATTCTTCACAATTGACCATGTAATAATACATATATTCAACACACAAATTATCAATATCTTTTCTATAAAAACACACACAACACATAGTAGTGCTAATTTTTATTTATTTATATGTCGTTAAAAATGTTGTGCAAGCTAAATATATGTGTAACAAAATGTCAAATTTCATGTGAGAGCTTAATTTTAAGTAGAGACAGCAAAAAGCTATGTCTCGAGTTGAGCTTCATAGTCTTGTGTCAAATTGGGAACATGATGATGGACTAGGCTTACATGTATATATATACACAAAGACATTCAATATACATATATATATATTTTTCTAATTCATAAACATAGCTCCTCCGCACGCACTTTATGTGCGTATATTATATACATACATGTTTATATGTGCATATTTACAGGTATACAATAATAAATAGAAGAAAATAAAAACAAGATATGGTTGATGTAACGTAGTGTGGGAAAAAAATGATACCTGCATTAAGACAGTCAAATTTGGTATGGTATAGGAGGCCCATGAGGTTGCGAACGATAAGGATGTGCAGAATAGTAGACCTGGGTCCACCCACCACTATTAGAAGCCACCGGTTGAGCCACTGCGTTATCTTGCCCCATTGCGGCTTCGTCTCTCACTGCTTTCCCAATACTCAGTTTTGGCCTAATTCTCACCATCAACTCAATCATGGTGAGAATTAGGCCAAAACTGAGTATTGGGAAAGCAATGATGGTGAGAATTAGGCCAAAACTGAGTATTGGGAAAGCAGTGAGAGACGAAGCCACCACGGGGCAAGATAACGCGGTGGCTCAGCCGAGTGCGATGGCTTTTAATAGTGGTGAGGTGAGAGTTACGCCAAAACTGAGTATTGGGAAAGCAGTGAAAGATGAAGCTGCCACGGGGCAAGATAACGCGGTGGCTCAGCTGAGTGCGGTGGCTTCTATTAGTGGTGGGTGGACCCAGGTGTGCCATTCTGCGCATCCTTATCATTCGCACCCTCATGGGCCTCTCATACCATACCAACCTAACTGTCTTCATGCAGGTATCATTTTTTTTCCGCGCTACATTACATCAACCCTATCTTGTCATTGTATACCTGTAAATACGCACATATAAACATGTATGTATATAGTATACGCACATAAAGTGTGTGCAGAACATCTTCCAATTACTTGGGAGCTATGTTTATGTATGTTTTATGAATTAGAAATATATATATATATATACGTGTATATTGAATGTGTTTGTATATATATATATACATGTAAGGCTAGTCCATCATCATGTTCCCAATTTGACACAAGACTATGAAGCTCAACTCGAGCCATATCTTTTTGCTATCTCTACTTAAAATGAAGATCTCACATGAAATTTCACATTTTGTTACACATATATTTAGCTTGCACAACATTTTTAACAACAAATAAATAAATAAATAAATAGAAATTAGCACCACTATGTGTTGTGTGCGTTTTTATAGAAAAGATATTGATAATTTGTGTGTTGAATGTATGTATTATTACAGGGTCAATTGTGCAAAATTAAACTACTCCGAGTGGGAAGTCCAAGACAGTGAGGCTGTTTGGGGTGAATCTACCGTGCCAGCTGGATGATGAGTCCGAGCCACCAACCCCTTATAGTTCATCTGTGTCTAGCCAGGCTCAACCCATCTATCAATATTACCCAAAAACACATCCTTCACACTAAGTAAGCCAAATATTTTAGTATTACCTTCTAAAAAGTCCAA